AAGAAATAGCTTATAAATACTTGATGTTAACAAGAGCTTTTCAGAGCGGTGATGTTTGTTTGTGGTGATTATGCCTATCTGAGCGTATAATGCCTGTGTGTACAGTTTCAACTCATGTGGGTGTTAAGTTTTGATACCCAATGTGGGTTTACAGTCATATATCATTCAGCATATGGTGTGTGTGAGGGTGAGTGCGTGCTGGGAAAGGGCTTTATACAAATGGCTCATTCAAGTTTACTGCAGCAGTGGGCGCCCGCCGTAGCATTCTCACCATACCAGGTCCATCGGCCCATTTGTGGTTTGACTTCTGTGTGTGTGTGTGTGTGTGTGTGTGTGTGTGTGTGTGTGTGTGTGTGTGTGTGTGTGTGTGTGTGTGTGTGTGTGTGTGTGTGTGTGTGTGTATGTGTGTCCATGTGTCCCATCTTTTTCTCACCACTACCAGATTTACGACAGTGGCTAAAAGACGTAATCTTCATGTACACTGAGCCCTTCTATACACACACATTCACACACATCCTAGAAGACAAATGGACCTTGCTGACACACAGACAGAGATGTGGACAAGCTGCTTTTCCGTTTGAATGCACAGCCAAAGCCGCAAGCCACAATTACACTTGTCCCTGTCTGTCTGACTGAAGCAGACAGGGACTGAGATAAAGCTCTCTGTGAGCTGCAGAATAATGATGTTAGGCGGCAGCGGTGTGACACTATTGTGTTGTATTTGCACGTTATTCTTATTAACTCATTGTATGGTTAAACTTTTAGCAAAATGTGTTGTGTTATTATGACTAACTGCTTCAGAGAAGTTGTGTATTCTGCCTCTGGTGCTTATCCCATCACTTTTTTGATACAGGATACAGTTCTTTATAGACCAAAGTATTACAGTTAAACTTTTATCCTCACACCCTTCTGACATTTTCCCATTTTCCCATTTTCCCATGCACAACATAGTGAGGAGGCTTGGTGGAATGTGTTACGAGGCATTTTTCATGGACATGGTTTATAGCGCTGTTGACTCCTACCGGCATTTCCTGCGATTGATTGCAAACATCTTATCTTTTTACTGGAACATAACACAGGTGAAAAGGAATTTTAAATTAACATTTCCAGAACTAATTAAAATAACTTATGCCTCAAGTGGAAAGAGGTGAAGTATAAGAGCAAATAGGGTCCAATAATTCATGCTGGATTAAGAAGATAGTGTCTGGATCTGGAAAAGGTATTTAGTATTTCTTCCCTTAACGGTCAACTATCGTCTTGAACATACTTTTCCATTTTAGGTAGGAGCATATCTGTTTTGAAAAATATGCGGTCTCTGACGTCCCAAAGGAAGCGGAGGAGAACATGATGTTAACTTGAGGGAACAAGTTATTATGATGAAGATGCGTACATGTCAAGATGTGAACTAGCTTATTTCTACAATAAACAGATATAGTTTCAACTTGATGATAACTGTAATTACCACAATCTAAGCCAATGGAAACATTTGGAAATATGAATAATAAACATTTACAGATTGAAGTTGTGTAAAAGCATTGTATCATGTAAGTCAAAGTAATGAACAGCCAGGGACTATTCTTCTCCCATCAACCATCCCCCTCCATCTTTTTTAGATTTTTCCTATTGCTTCTTTTCTCAGGGTGTGTGATCCTTGACCCCGATGAGGTCACTAGTGGCAAGTAGTCATCTTGTTTTCCTGGCTGCTGTCAAAAGCCCCTCAGAATTTATGTATTTCCACATCCCTCCGTTTCCTTCCATGTGGAAAAAAGGTTTTCTATGCATATTTCAAATCTATGTGCAATTCAGGATGTAATGTTTTCAGTTTTAAAACTCTCAGAAGAGAGTCAAGGATGAATCTCAGTGTGTGTATATTTGTGTCTCCGTATGTTGCTGTGTGTTAAAACGTCCAGAGGGACTTTTGGCCACAGATGTAAAAGTCATTTTCTCTGCTGTTTCTCCCCTCAAAAAGTATTGCGTCCTTCTTCAACGTTCCTCGATCAATCACTCTCCTTCTTTTTCTCCCAATTTTAACCTTACTTTTGTTTCTTCATGCTTTTCTTAGCGTCGTTTACATTTTCAACTCTCACATTTCTATTCCTACCCCAACCATTAGCTTATTTCTCACTATTCTCATATTATTCCCATTCTTCCTTTTTCCTCCATTCTTTCTTCCCCCATGGTCTACTCTTTTCCTCCATCTCTGTTTTTCCTCTTTCTTCTCCGCTCTCTGCTCTCCAAGGCCTAGTAGAAGTGTATGTACCTGGCAGAGATTTTTATTGCCCTGTCAGGGGGTTGGGGACGACTAATTTCACCCATAAAAGCAGCTCGGAACAAGAAAAAGGGGGCGGCAGATGGGGATTGGGGGCACATTTATTGGAAGAGTTTGTTTTTTTAAGCTGTGAACAGCTATTATTTTCCCTCTCCTCTTTCTCTTTTCTTTCCATCCTGGCAGCAGAGTGTAGTTTTGGCTTTGATTGTTGCAAGTGAACACACTTACACTTCTGCACACACAAATACATTGGCACACGCTAATGCATTAATACTGTGCAAGTACTAAGGTATGGGAACACATACGGGATGCAAAGACTTGGTTATGTTTGCACACACACACACACACACACACACACACACACACACACACACACACACACACACACACACACACACACACACACACACACAGAGCCGAGCTCTAATGAAACACAGAGACCTAGACGTAATAGTACTGTATCATATTATTTTCGAATCAATCATTTTTCAAATTATGATTATTTAAAAAAAAAAATCTTTTTAATATATCTTTTTTAATAACCATTTTTCCTCCTGGTCTCTCGCGCCCCCCCTGGCATGCCTCTGCGCCTCCCAGGGGGGGCGCGCGCCCCTCTTTGAGAACCACTGATTTATACACATGTCTGTTTAGTCCCATAAATCTGTCTCTTTTCAAAGCTGCTACTGCTGCCTGATAATCTGTTCTTTCTGTTTCTGCTACACATCCAGCTACATGCTACTTTTTTCTTTAAACAAACTAACACACCAGTAACTTTGTTTCTAAAACGTATATAGAGACAATACATTTTACAATTCTTCTCAGACATATAGTATAGTATTCTAATAATTTGTGTCTAACCTGGGTATAGCGTTGTAAAGCATCCAAAGACAGTGCTCAAATTATGTTATTGATTTTATTTCAAGTTGCTTGATGAGCTAGACCTTTTGTCTAACTACAAGGGGAGGCATCTCTGTGTATCAGTGTGCATCTCCTTTGCATCAATTGGCCATTGCATCTTAAATCAGATGGGTAGGTTTTTTCCTTACAAGTCTATAATGTTACCCCCGGCAAAATACCTTCTCTAATTAAATCCAAGCATTACTTTACAACTGCGGCTGACTTGAACTATTCGTTGGAAATTATTACATGCACTATGTTTATTGCACTGGTGTTTTTAATTGCTATCGTAGCCAGAATTGGGTGTGATTTCCCTTTAACTGAACTGTATTGGACCAGTTTTAAGGAAGCTGCAAGTAGCAATGGCGGAAATGTTCCTGAAACTACTGATTCTGTTGTATTTCTTAGGATGACTGACTCTTTGGCAATTCATCAAGGTATTTATCCTGTTATTCACAGATGAGTTGTATTTTTCTGCTAGGATGATAAACAATCAAATAATATGTAGAAGATTAGGAGGATATACATAATTCTGTAACAGACATACTCAAATCCCAACAGCATATCATCCTCCAATTTTATGACATCACTATTGGTAACACAAGATATTGTTAGAGCCAAAGAGTCTGGTAAGCATCAAGCTGAAGTCCACAAAAAGTCACAGTACTAGATAACTTCTATTGAAAATCCTTTTGAAATATTTTTAAAAGATGAAAACATTTAAAAATAACTTGTTGTTGTTGTTGTTCATCAGTCTAAAGAATCTGTGTGTCATAAATGATAAAACATGTTTCTGCATGAGGATTGAAATAATGGCATCCAACCATTATATTACTTTACAAGGGTGTTTATATCGTCCTGGAGGCCTGTTTTGAAGAAACACAGCTCTGTGTACCACCTATTATTGGTAACCATAAAAATCCATAATGAAGTGATTAGCGGGGGTGAGAAAGAGAGCTGCAGATGCCAGTGCATAGTGTGAACAGCCACCCAGAAGCAGAAGTGCTGTTGTCAATGAGTGAATGCACATGAGTGTATGGTGGTAGGCGTGTGTGTGTCGACGTTTTGGAAGTGTTCATCGAGTCCTCAACTGATACAATTACACATTTGCACGTTTCCGCGGAAGCTTATTTGAACTTCCAGTGAAGCACCTATCGCGGTTTGTTGAGAGCGTGCGGTTTTACGCGACCGAAAGTTACACTTGTTTTAGGTCTTAGGTTAACCACATAGAGAGTCAATGACATCTATGATCGGAGTTTTACATTACCCAAGAAGAGAACCGGGTTCGAAATGGATAGGTGGTTCAATTTATTTTTGGACCGGTGTGGGTCTGTCTTTCGTTGTGCGCTTGTTCTTTGGTTGGAGTACGACTTCCGATAACTCATGTGAGTAAGTAAACGGTGTGTGGCGTGGGTCTCCTCGAAACCTTCAAAACCGGTATTTGGTGTGTAAAATGTCATGATTAGTCAATTTGCTTTTCTGTTTTGATAAGAGTATCTTTTTTACATTTTCACGACACAAACAAATATACGGGACGGGGGGGGGCGT